AGCGAGCCCTCAAGACAGGTTCGAGGTGATGGTCACCTTGTTGGAGAAAGGAAGGAAAGAGCCGAGTGACTACGGGTTGCTCACGAACCTGAAAAAGAGTTGGCACAGGCAGGAGTGCCAATGGAGGTCACAGGGACCTCATCGGGTTCGAGAGAAAAGAAAGAAAGCGAGAAGGAGGAACCAGACGAGGAGTGCCGGTGATTGGAGAAGATGAGGAAGAAGTTATGGTGATTGGACCAATGAAGTTGACACGCCAGAGTGAGTTGAAGGAGATGAAAGCAGCGTGCAAGTATCTTCATATCTCCAAGAATGGATCAAAGGAGATGTTGTGGAAGAGACTCAAGAAAGAGGTTGCGTTAAGCAAGGTGAAAGCGCAAGCCCAAACCTCGGAAGACCTTAGAAAAGAGTTTGAGCGCGAGCCCATTCCTGAGGCTCTGCCGGCTTTGCCGAGCCCGGAAGAGATAGAGGCTCACGAGTTGACGCATTTGCCGAGAACGCCCTGGTGTGAAGCATGCCAGGCGGCAAAGAGTAGAGAAGACAACTTTGAAGAGACCAAAGAGAAAGCGCAACGATCCGTGTTTAGCGGTTTAGCGTGGACTTTATGTTCACAGGAACGCAAGGAGACGAAAAGGAAAGAGATCCGCTTGCTATTCAACTTGCTGGTGTTGACAATGACACAAAGTTCCTGATCGCTATCGCGGTGCCAACGAAAGGAGGAGATGCAGTCATTAACCATGCGGTGAGTGAAGTAGTGAGAGTGCTAGCCCTCTTTTGGGTTACACGGAAGTGGTTCTGAGGACAGACGCAGAGCCAGTGATGGTTGCCAGCAGAAGAGGAGTTCAAGTGGCAAGAACTGAACAAGGTTTGAAATCAAGGGTTTCCTGTTGAGAGGTATATCCAGACTGTGAGGAACCTAGCGAAGACGTTGTTGGCAACGGTGGAACAAAGGAGTGGAACGGCCATCGGATCTGACGTCCCGCTTTATAGCTGGGCGTACAGACATGCAGCATGGCTGCATAACAGGTTTCATGTTGGAAGAGATGGCTGGACGGCGTTTGAAGCAACAGTGGACCGAACGTACAAAGGGAAAGTTGGCCCCGTTCGGGCAAAGTGAAGGAAAAAGGAGAACGCTGGGAAAAGGGAGTCTTTCTGGGAAAAGACTACGCGAGCAATTTGAACTTGATTGGCACAGGCCGAGGAGTGATCAAGGCGAGAACGATGAGAAGATGTGCCACGGCATATCAGCCGGAGCTTTTGCAGCTTTCGGTTGGAGCTCCATGGGATCATCAGTTGAAGGCGTGGCGGTTCAAGAAGAGGAGAATTGTGGCTATTGAAGATGGGCCCGGATTGCCTAGGTTGGCGGTCGAGGCAGAAAGAAAAGGAGAAGAAGAAAGAAGAAGTGAACCCTCGCCGCCGAGCGAACGCCCAGGAACTTCGAGTTCTTCGAGTAAGAGTTCGTCGCTGTCGGGAGGAAGTCCAGAGACACCAGGAGATGGAGCGATGGACGACGAAAGCGATGAGAGTGATGATGACCCAGGAGAAGTGAGAACAAAGAGAGAAGCCGAAGAAGAACTAGTGCCTGACGAGATGACGCTAGAAGAGTTTCAAAGAGAGCTTGCGCAGAGAAGCGCGGAAGGAGAAGGAGAAGGGTCACCAAAGAAGGGGCCCAGAGTGGACGAAGGAACTGGTGAAGTAGAAGAGAGAGTTGAGAAAGCGCCAAGACTTGGAGGAGAAGCAAGAGGAAGTGCGGCTCGAGTGGAGTACCACATCAGGAGATTCACCAAGAGCGAGGATCCTGAAGAGCATGGAGATGAGTATGTTGATCTCGAAGAGACACAGTTGTTTCTTGAAGAAGGTCGAGAGTTCCAGAACAAGTGGAACGAGAAAGTGTGTGAGACAGAGGAGGACCTAACGGTTACTGGTTTCACGAGTACGATGATGGACCACCTAAGCTGGAAGCAGAAGACTTAGAGAAGGTGGACCTGAAAGCGGAGAAGACCGAGATTGAGAGATTGTTGGAGATGAAAGTTCTTAAGGAGGTAGAGCTGGATGAGAATGGAGAATTGAAGAAAGGACCAAATGGCGAAGAACCAAAGAAACTCAGTACTAAGTACGTGTTGGATTGGAGGCACAGGGACCTCCAATGTAAGAGGCGCGCCCGCCTAGTCGCGCGCGAGTACAAGTGGTTGACAGACTACGACCTTTCAGCTTTGTACTCCCCAACGAGCATTGGTTCGAATATCAAGCTGCTGTTAGCCTTGTGTGCGAGCTCAAGAGATTACGAGATGATCTCAATAGACATCTCGAACGCCTACCTTCAGGCGCCACAGAAAGAGTACACAGTTGTGAGTCTAGGAGGAAAGTGGTAGGAAAAGATGGTTTCCGATGTGGGGTTACCAAGTTTCTTTTACAAGTTCTCAAAGACGCCAGGAGAAGGAGGAACGCTGATGAGTACCCACGTTGATGATTTGAAAGTGTTTGGGAAACCAAAGGAAAACCAAGCAGTAGTGGGTCTGCTGCTGAAGCACAAGTTGAAGATCAAACTGGAAGGTCCAGTGAAGGTTGGAGAAGGAAAGTGTACCTTCTTGAAGAGAGCATTCTTAGGAACCGCGGAAGGAATTGAGATCAGGATGGACGGCAAGTACCTTGAAAAGCTGGAAGAGACTTTGGGTTTAGGAAAATTCCTTCCAACGAAGTTGCCGTTTCCGTTGGATTACGGGAGATCGTTGAAGGACGACACGCCTTTGGATGCAGATGAACATCATCTGTATAGATCCTGTGTAGGAATCCTATTGTACATGACGCCAGAGAGACCCGACTTGGGATTTGCTACGAAGTGGTTGTCAGGAAAGTTGGCAGCACCAACGCGAGGAGACTTAGCGGTGCTAAGGCACGTGGCGAAGTATGTGAAGGCAACATCGCACTATGTGATTGAACACAAGGGAGCATATACTGGAAAGAGTTTTCTGGATCCAAGAGATAAGAGAACTGAGAATTTCGACAAAGATGTTTTCACGGCAAAGAGTTTGATCGAGGTAGTGACGGATGCCGACTGGGCGACCGATCGTGAGAACAGGCAGTCAACGAGCTGCGTCTTGATTTTTGTGAACAGTCATCGTTTACTTTCACGCTAGAAAGCAAAAAGCGACAGCTCTGAGCAGTTGCGAGAGTGAACTGGTAGCAGCCGTTGGAGGTTTGAGTGAAGGAGTTTTTCTTCAGAACCTTTTGCACAGGGTTCTTGGGATTCGACCTGACATGGTCATTAGGATGGATTCGAGTAGCGCCAGATCGGTTATCATGAAGAAAGGCCTAGGAAGGACAAGGCACATTGATGCTGGGCTGCTTTGGGTCCAAAGGCTTACTTCAGTAGGTCTTCTTGTGAGAGCAATAGCTGGAAAGGAAAACCCTGCAGATGTAGGTACAAAAGCGTTGTCAAGGAATGCTGTTGTGAAGTGTTTGGAGAAGATCGGTGTGAGAACAGGAGAGGAGAATGAAGAGATCAGGGTAGCAATGTGATGGGTTGCGTGACCAAAGCAGTAGAAGCAGTGATGGTGGAAGTGTTGGTTTGATGACGGTGGTGATGATGATGATCATGATGGTTGTCATGCTGTGCAACAGTAGCTTGTGGAGAAGTTTTGTTGAAAGTGTTGAGTACATGTTTCATGCCGCCGCCGTTTTCTACTCAAGGAAAGAAGTGAAAGGAAAAGAGGTTGAAGAAGTTTGGAAAGAAAAAGAAAATAAAGAAAGAAACATGTCAGGAAGTGAAGATGTGATGGAAAAGACAAAGCAGGCTATGGTGGAAGCCTACGAAACACAGCTGAAAGCGATGATTATGATTACGAACGAAGCCAAGTCGATAGAGTCGGTGGAGTACCTGAACAGGTGCTTAAAAACAGCGAAAAGGACGAAGAGAGGGTGAACCTCGAAGAGGTGTGAAAGGAGGTGGAGAACCTCAACAAACACGCACCGAAAAGTGTGCAGCAGAGTACGGCTGCCGGGTCCAGTGGAGACCAAAGTGATATAATGAGGCTCCGAACAGAGGAGCTCTTGCAGAAGCAAGAAGAGGCCAAGGCAAGGCGCCAGGCCCAGGTAGAAAAAGCGAACGAAGAAGGCTCTTTTCACTTGTGACTTCCTTTTATTCCGAACGTGAGCAAAAGGCATGGAAGCCTGCCGCCCCATAACAGACAGAATCGTTTGATCATGTTGGAAATTTTGAAAGAAGTTTTCAAACCACCAACATGTTTATTTTCCTGATGTTTCACGAAGCTTTATTTTACCAACTCGTGTTCTTTTGTGGGAAGGGGCGCGGAGGGTCACTGAGCTTCCACATATCCGAAGTGTCGGCTTGTGAGGGCACGAGTTGGCAAAATTTTGACTGGGGCCTTGTAAGATCCGCTAGCATAGTGTGAGTTCCGGGCCTGATTGCTGGCACTCCCGCGAGGGAAGTGGTGAGTAGCCCTGAGCGCGAGTTCGGGTGAAAGCTGCGAGCGGAGTGAGTTGTCGGATAGGGCTGGCGGACACTCCACGACACGTCTACTGGTGTATGGGTTCCTCTAGAGGCCTTTTGCGTAAGTTTCTGTAGTGCCGGGCCGGGGCAGGGCGCTGCATGGAATACGAGGACAGCGAGTCTTCAGCTTCTTTGGCAAGTAAGTACATCTGCGAGCTCTCACGTTATAGCGATTTGTGTTTTGATTGCGTCTTTGCTTCGGGGCCAGTCAACAGCTGACCGTTGCGCTGTGGAACCTGCTGGATCCTGCGGGCAGGGCTGCTTTACTGAACTCGAGTGCTGCCACCCATCGGGCCTTCCTGGAAGATATTGTTTTCGTGGCCGTTAGGGCTGGCCTTGGAAGGATGGGCTGGACGACCTGGCTCTTCGGGCGACCATGTGGTCCATCGGCATGCGTCCGACGAGGCCGCCGTTGCCTTGGGAAAACCAAGAGTGCCTCAGGGCAGTTTTGGGAGAGAAGTCTGCAAAGTCACCATTTTCAGAACTTCCTAAAATGATGTGGCCGTCGAAGGATGTTTTGTGTTGGGAAGCTGCTTCGAGTGCTTCTACTTCTGCCAGCGATGCTGATCTTGCTGTGGGTGTCAGGGAGGTCAGGAAATCTTGGCTGGTTTCAACTGCCCGGACTGAAGCCTGGCGAGACGAGCTGGACGAGGCGCGCAATGCTGCGTTGCAGATGTGGAAAGCCATTATCCTACAGTCTGTAGACTCTACAAAGCTTGGAAAGATTCTTCAAACAGTCGGGGATGCAGAGGAACTTGAGGCTTCTTTGAGGGACACGTTTGCTGGAAAGGCTACGTCCACTCTTACGTCGCGAGCTGGTTCTTTGCTTATCTTTGCCAAGTGGAAGTCTACTACTCTTGGAACAGATGTGGGCGCGATTTTTCCGATGTCTGAAAAAGAGGCATATTCGTACCTCTGCCAACTCCGGAGGGAAGGTGCCCCTAGATCCAGAGCTGTAAAGTTTGTGGAGGCTGTTGGATTTGCCAAAGGGATGATCGGGTCAGATGTGGATGCAGTTCTGACTTCGCCGAGGGTCAAGGGAGCATGCAGTCCTGTGGTTCCGAACCCTCCTGTGAGAAAGAAGGCCCCTCTTCTTCTTCGCGAGATTGTCTTCATCGAGAAACTTGCGGTTTCAGCTGACCCCTTCAGTCAGGACGCCATAATTGCAGGTTATGTCTGTGTGCTTCTGCGTTGTCGCTTGAGATGGAGTGATGGCATGCACATGGAGAGCGAGCCCACCTTAGACTTGTGTGGGAACGGGGATGGCTTCTTCGAAGGGAGGCTAGACGATCACAAGACTTCGGCTGCAATGGGTTTCAAGGTGTTGCCAGTGGTTGCTGTCTTACCGGGAGTGTCGGGACTCAGTTGGGCCGAGCATCACCTGTCGAACCGTAAGAAGCAGGGCCTTGTGGCGGGGCCTGGAAAACCTTTCCAACCGGCGCCTCTGGTGTGGGGTGGATGGGCTGCTGTTCCTTATGATTCTACGCTGGGATCTATGTGGTTGAGGGAAAAGTTGAAGGCGACAAACCCATCGCCTGAGAGGCTTCTTTCTCATTACTCATTCGCTTAAGGCGACGATCCTCAGCTGGCTCTCTAGAGCGCCGGCTCCGTCTGACATACAGAGGAGGGCTGGATATCATTTGGCAGCAGGCGAGCGCGATCCCGCAGAATATGAGCGGGATGGCCAGACGGCGGTTCTGCACTTTATACAAGGAGTGATGATGTGTATCGCTCAAGGATTTTTCTGTCCGGACGCGCAGCGTTCTGGAAGGTGGTCTGGCTGCCGCTCGGTTGATGAGGGCGTGGCTATTATCGCTGGGCATACAGCTTTGAGCACGGGCCCGCCTGACCTCGATGCCAAGAGCGATGATGGTGACGAGTCCGAGGTTTCGGAATGCGGCGATGGAGGCCACTCCGAGGCCGAAGAGGCTGCAGCGGAAACTGTTGTGCATCAGGTCTCTCAGTACTTGGCAAGTGGCCGGCAGGACGCTGATACGCAGAGGCATCACTACAGTGGTGTTATCTTATGAGGCTTGAGTGTCCTGAGTCCGAAGGTGAGATTCAGGTTTTGAAATGTGGCAGTCCGATTTCGGCCAACTATGTTAGGCTCGACCGAGTACCAGTGTGTGCCATTCGACAGTGCAACACGTGCTGGGCGTGACGAGGGGGTCTGTTCAGGCAAAAGTCTACGTTGCGTAGTTCGAATGTGCAGTCAATCATGTTTGGTGCGTGCATGAGAGTTTGTGATGTGCAAGCGAAGTTGGCGTCCGTCGAAGAGTGGTTGCTCGGCACGGGTGTGTGTGTGTGAAGTGCACGGCGTTTGTGATTTCTGAGCTAGGTTTGATTTGAGTCATGCTGGAAGCCATGCTTTTCTTATTGTAGGAGTCTCTTGAGTCCCAACATGTCCATGGTCGATAGCGAGCCGGTGTTTGCCTCACGGTGTGAGCGCGTCGGGCTACCAGAGACTGTGGTTAAGAAGCTGAAGTCATTGGGATGGGACACTTATGCTACTTTTGCATTTTGCATTCAGAATCAAACGGATGAGAAGGCTTTTGCGGACAGGGTCCTCAGGCCTGTACTGGGTGATGATCAGACCCATGCCGCGAGGTTGCGGAGAATCTTCATGGAAGCTTATACTATGACAGCTGCAGATCTGAAAAGGTTGACTGACGCATCAGAGCACGATGCTCCTCGCAAGTTGCCTGCACAGGAGCTGGCGGCTAGGCTCGAGGCTCTACAGTCAAAGATCAAGCCACTCTTGATTCGAGACAGGTCGGAGCCAAGTCACGCTTTGATCAATGCAGCTGCTCAAATGCTTGAGGACAATCGGGTGCGCTACATTTCTTGGACCACGTGTACCACACGTGGTCAGGAAATCAATGCAGTTCGGGAGCTGACTTCGATGAAGGTCTGGCAGCCCGACAAGAGCGGCATGATCAGGGAGGTGGACAAAGGTCCGTCCATGCAGGCTGTTGTGGGTTCTGAGCTAGAAGTGCAGCAGGCGCTGCGGCGGAGAGGCATTGCATATGCTATTGCGCAAGTGATGAGTTTTTCTGTGCATGAAGAGCTGATTGCATTGCTTTTCAATGAGTATCAGAAGGATCCGCTGGACGGCTACGAGAAAGTCTCGTTGGCCCAAGTTGCTCAGGCCGATCGTGAAATTCATGTCCGTTTGGGAGAGTTGACTCGGGCTGGTTTGGCTCCGGGTGTTGGGACACTTCCGTTGGATAAGCCAATGGCAGAGGTGCTTGGGCAGGCAAGTGTCATGTGGCTCCTGATGCCGCGTGCGAAGAGCACAAAGCCGTCAGTGGAGACTCCTGATGACAGCCCAACAAAGAAAAAGAAGAAGAAGAAGAACCTGCGAAAGCGCGGGTTGAGCAAGGACGAAGAGTCTGAAGTTCCGCCGCCACCTCCACCTCACCCAGAGGCGGGTAAGCGTGTGAAGAGAGTGGCGATGCCAAGAGCGCTTATCGGCGGAGTCGCCGAAGATGACTCTGGCAATGTGTTGTGTTTTGGTTTCAACTTGGGAACGTGTCAGGTTCGTGGGGACAAGTGTCCGAAGGGCCTGCGTCGCTGTTGCAAGCCGAAATGCTTCAAGCCACATCCATTCATCAAGCATGTCGGGTCGTGACTAGGCGACCAACGCGCTCCCAAGAGCGAGACTACTGCGAAACTTACGCGTGATCCGGCAGCAGCCTTGCGAAGTTGCTATGATTTTCCTTCGCATTTTGATTTACAAGGACATTCTCCTACTGATTACTGCAAGTTCGTGCATCCAGCTGAGGAGCTGGCGGCGCGTAGTTTTCCCAATCGTCAAGCGTTGTTGCAACTTGTTTCGTTGATTCCGTCTGAAGTACCTGCGAGGGGCTCTGGGGGCAATGATTCGCATTCTTTTACCAGTGGCGCATACAGCAAGGATGGTCAGGTGGGACGGTAGTGCAGCGAATTGTAAAAGGGCGGAAGGAATTCGCCAAATCACGGCAAAGTTCTGCAGAGAAGTCAAAATGGACAGGTATGTTACAGAGAAACGTGCCAACATCTATTCCCCCGGCTGGGTTCGCGAAAAAGGAGAAATCCCCCACATAGTGGGTTTTGCACGACCTTTACATTAAGTCGAGGAGAAGGGGAGGGGCCATTCGACTCAGCAACGGAAACACCAAAACGCACCCCGAAACCGGTCCCTGAATCCCCTCCTCGGTCTTCACTTGAAAAACTTTTTCCGCTGCGCTCACTCCCTCTCAGTGCTGGACCTTGCCGCGTTCTGTCCTCTGCGTTGTGCCATGTACTCTTGCACCTCCTGCACTTGCCAGCTTATGCACGGTACGAGGGTGACTGCCGTTCTCCCCCGAGCGCTCCGTGGTTCACTTGCGGGTAGTTCCTGTGTGTCCGCAAGCTGACGTGACCTTTTGGGCCGCGGTTCCCCCACCGGCTCGCTGTGACGTCTGGCATGGGGCTCCCCCTCCGGCTCGACGGGCTTCCTCTGGCCGGTGGTTCCCCCTGTGCCACTGTGGCACTGCGGGCTTCACCTGGTTGGCCTCCCGGTCAGACGGTCTTCCGGCGGCTCCCCACGGCCACTGCGAGTCGGCGTTCTGGCTGTAGTCGTTGTGGTTGCGGTCTTGTCCCCCTAGGTCTGTGCTTTGGCTGTCGCCCTCTGTCCGCCATGCTTCTAAGGGGATGGCTTCGGCAAAGCCTAGACAAAGCCTAGGGATGACCTGGGCAGAAAGGCAGAACCTAGGGCGGGCTTAGGAGCGCCTAGGGGATGGCTTCGGCAGAGCCTAGGGAGAGCTTAGCGGATGGCCTAAGCAGAGTGTAGTGGATGGCCGACAGAGCCTTGTGCTTCTCCCCCTTCTTCGGTTTGGCTGTCGTCACTTCCCCAGTCTGGCGGGGTTTCCGAAGCACTGTCCTCCTTTTTCACACGGGCTGGTGTCGCCCCCCGCGAGCTGCTGGCTGCTTCTGTCTGTCCTGTTGTCCGGTGGTGTGTCTCCCC